TTTTAAGATCAGCTTCTATACAAAATTTTTAATTCCGAGATCTCAGAATTTTTCAACGATTTTTTTAAAACATCATAACATTGATAAATTTCATTAAAATAATGGTAATATAATGTATATTATTTTAAATATATAAGTATATTTAAAAAGTAACATTAAAATAAAAACATTTTTATTTTTCTGTCATGTTATAAAGTTTCATTTTGGCAACTTATTGTACAATATTTTGAATCTGAAAAGTAAACAAGGTATAATGCTCTAAAGCATAATTTATGAAACAGCTCTTAGCAAAAGCAAAATTAGCTATGTAATTAATTAAAAATATCTTCTTTTCAATTTTTTCATAGTAAGAGTTTCATAGTAAGAGTGGATTTTTGTCAATTTTCTTTGACTTTTTAAGTGAAAATAGGTCGATGTGTACAAGAATTAAGTTAAGGAAGTGCGCAATGCCATTTTTGTGCAATTCTGGGATATTTTTTTAAGTGAAAATAGGTCGATGTGTACATGGATACCGAGTATGTGCAATTCTTAAAAACGCGCCAAGCAGTGGGCGATTCTGCACTTTTCGCGGAGATTTTCCCCATGTAATTGTCTCAGAATATTCAAAATTCTCAGAATATGCATCAGTTTTCTCTATAAAATTAATTTTACACCTTTTCCCCTCCCTCTTAACCAAAATATTTCTGGCTTTTTGCTGTTACAGAATTGGTAGGGATAAATTTTTCTTTAGGATTTTAGACATTGCTGCTTGGAAAATTTAGAAGGATTTGAAAGCAAGATTTATAGACCCACAATTCTAGAAGATTCGAGAAATATGTGACAAAATGAAAAATGTCTCCATTGTTTCAACATGTAATGGATGTATTTTAGTGAAAGTTTGCAATGAATTTCTTACTTTTTGGAGAATGTCTGGAAGAACAATGAAAACATAATATTTGAATATTTTACTCCTGATACTAGAGTCTTAACATGTTTATCTTCCCTTTATTTTCTCTACTCTTCACTAGGCTCAAGTGTGGAAAATATCAAAAATGCTTTTATCATATGGGCAGGCATTATAGAAAGAGATTTTTTTATTAATAAAGAAATTGAAAACTTATAATTTAAAAGATTCATCTAATATGTTTTAATGCATCATACACATAGCTGGCACTAGGCATTTTCCCACCTGATGCAATCTCTGTGGATCCTAAATTCTGCTGCCTGGTGCCTTTCTAAATTCTGCTTCGAATGCCTGGTCTAAATTCTAAAAATTCTGCCACATCAGCTCTATAACCAGCCCTTACCATATATACTTCATATTCTTCTAAATATTCATATTACTAAAGAAATAAAATTAGCCGCTTTTTCTATACATTCTAAATGCATTTAGTGTTTTTCAGAATAACAGAAATCCTTAATTAAATCAAAAAATTCTAAAATGAAAACGAAACGTGTTGAAGAAAGAAACTGAATACATAAAGAAAATTATTCTTCAAAGACATGTGCAGTTATTATTATGTAAATTACCCAACTGCTTATGATTTCAGCCTTTACTATAATTTTCTATTTCTATTTCCTCATATGATAGAGTTACTGAGCCAGATTAAATTAAAATTAAATTGTACGAGGGCTATCCAGAAAGTAGATTACGTTTTGGAATAAAAAAATAAACAAAGTATAGGAAACAAATTTTATTATATACAGATGAAAGCCACACTCAAATACTACTTTTCTACATAGTCACCATACATATTAAGGCATTTATCGTAGCGATGTACGAGCTTGGAAATTCCTTCGTCGAAAAATTCGGCCGCCTGCGCCTTCAACCACTTCGTTACCTCTTCTTGCCTTCCATCTTGCACAAAACTTGTGGTAACCAAGCTTTTCGCTGATGATTTCGTGCAACAAACTTCGCGAAATTTGTGGAAAACTCAAAGAAAGTTCCGTTATTGTGAAATTTCGATTTTCACGGACTTTAGCATCGACTTTTTCGAGAAGTTCGGCGGTCACTATGCTGGGTCTCCCACTTCGATCTTCGTCGTGAACATTGGTTCGGCCATTTTGAAATCTTATGACCCACTGACGCACTCCACCTTCAGTGATAATGTTGTCCCCATACACTTCACGAAGCTGCCGATAGATTTCTATCGGTTTACAGTAGTTTTTTGCAGTCAGAAACCTTATTACTGAGCGCACCTCGCAGCTCGCGGGATTTTCAATTAACGCAGACATTTCAAACCGTCACAGTATCTGAACGGAGCACAGCACGAACCTCTCACTAGCACGGCTAGATGCAGACTGAGCTGCGCAACGCTCTGACCCCAAGATGGCCGCGCTAGCCCCGCCCCTAGCGGACACAGACGGAAACGTAATCTACTTCCTGGATGGCCCTCGTATAATCTTTGACCACTACTCCACATTTTTAGTTCGAATTTGACTATTCTTGTTTAATTACGTCACCCTGAGATGTAATTGATTTTGTTAGCATTAGAACATGCCTTTATGTTCAAAGTTCTTTTTAAATAAGAGGCTTATTTAAACCTTTCGTTGATATTGTAGTTACATAGCGATAATATGCTTCACGTCTGTCAGGGGTTCTGGACTATTTAACTTCTACCAGATCAAGTAAACCCTCACAGGTACATTGTGGAGAGGTTGACAAGTTAGGAGATAAAGCACACCGAAACTAGCGAGAGCATTGGTTTGCACATTGAGACAAATCTGTAATTGTTAGAAAAAAATGCTTAAAGAGAAGGAAATCGATATAAACTACCCAAAATCTTTGGGAAGGCTTCAAATTAAATTGTCGAATAAATATTTTGTTGAGTGTTGTTGTTATAAAACATAAATGTTTTGTAGCTTTTAATGTATAAATATCCTAATCATTTAAGAATCAATGTCATAAATTACATGTATTTTAAACTGTGAAATTTTATTAGATTTTGATTTTAATAGGGCTTTTTTAACAAATATTGTTAAAAAAATAAAATTTAATAGTGGTCATGTAAATCCATAATGACTAAGGTTATCAAACTACCTGATTTAATTATTTATAACTAACTGCTTACCTTTAAAAATTATCTCTACATATTAAAGCAAGTTATTGCCTTTCATTAATCCTTACCATGGTCACAAGATAAAACACAAAATTGTAAAAATTCATGTAAAACTTATTCTTTGCAACTAGTGAGACCTGAAATATTACAAAACAACTTATCACCTGTGGTGTTTTAGTGGAACTCCTTAAAGTATATTAACTGGGTTACAATCCTTGAACTCTACAAGAAGCTACGGCACAAACTGCATTAGACACAGCCCAACTAACTTTCAAAACTTGCCAACCATGCCTACATTGTTGGCCTTTCAGGTTTTTTCTAATCAGCAGCTCTCTCTCTAGACAAGCAGCAGCGGTAACAACATTCAGTCTTTTGTTATGAATCATGCTGATTATGATCTTAATTCTCATTTTAACCTATGCCGTTTGACATAAAATCTACCTGCTATTTACTAAACCTCTAGACTGACTAAGTATGTGAAAAAAATTCAGCATAAAGCTGACTGTTAGTAAAACATAAATGTCACATATCTTCTTTCAAATATGTCCAACTATTCTAAGTGTAAAATATTTATTGCTACTTGATAAATTGCTTAACGTTTATTTTATTCTCAAACTTATTAGTAATTATGTTAATTAATTCATGTTTAGTAATAATGCATACTACTTAGGAATCTATTTTATTTTTAGGATGGTATTACAAAAGTGAAATTCAGTATAGATAATATTTTTAATTGAATTTTATTCAGTTGCCATTTGCTCATAGGTCCTTAATTTTTTCATTAATTGTCCTTAAAAGTCCTTAAAAGTACTTAATTTCCGTGTGCAGAAATGCATACGAACCCTGATTTGTAATAGTGAAATGAAAAGGCAAGTGGTTATAAAACTTCCAACTTGATATGGGGGAAAAAATGATAGGCTGATGTCTTCAAGGTCTAGTAAAGTCAAACTAGTAAGCTTAGAATCATAACAATAGACTTTTAATTGACATGTGGGAGTGATGCTAATTCTTATACTATTCATCTACTGGCATTTATGCTTGGTTTCTGAGACAAATTGGCTGATACTAAACTTAACACTTGTAGTCAATTACAATAGTGCAAAACAAGTCATCTCTAGACTGTAAACAGTGGAAGATTATTGTATGAATTGATGAACCAAAGTACATGTTATAACATTCCAGTAGTTATATATGAATCTAGCAAATAGTAGGCAATGTTATGAAATAAGCTTATTTGGGAAGGTGGAGGGAGAGTTGATTTTGACTCATTGGTTTTTAACCTCAAGCTTTAACTGCTGAAGCTGATGATGTTGATCTAATATTGGATAAATCTATGCTATAAACTCTAGGACAATAGTTTGAACTGCCTTTATCATTTTCACCAAGATAATTCACCTGTATATAAAGTAAAAGCCATAATCAAATGATATGAAGAAATGGGAGTGAATGAACTCAACTGGCCAGCTTGAAGTGCTAACCCAGTCAAACATTTTTTAGTTGAAAGCTAGACCAAACTGCCTCAAAACCACCGCAGAATTTTTTGCCATGTTGCAAGATGAGTAGGGGGGAAGCACCTAAAGACATCATCTGAATGAAAGAAATTTTTCTGTGGAGATCTGTGATAGTGGTGAATAGTAGATCTATGTTATACTGATATCATATGTGCTTCAGTTAAGTAATTTCCTATGAGTATCCAGTGACTAATATGATTTTTTCTAGCATATATATTGAATGAAATTTAATCATTTCAGATTATATTACTGTCCAATCACATTATGACTAGTAATAATTCTCTTCTATGATTTCTTCATTTTTATTAACTTTAAAGTGTATTGCACAGAAATCATTCTGTTTTTCATTTTTAATTTAATAGTTAAATGAATATTTGGTTCTATAGTCTGTATTTTTCTAGAAAAATTTAATAAAACTTAGGAATATGATTAAATTTTAAAAATATTACAGAGAATGACAGAACAATTGATATCTGGAGTTGTACTACCTACTGATAGAACCAAAGCTTTAGACTTTGAATATGATGTTGAAATTCCTTTATATGGGGAAGAAGAAAAAGGTATTTAACTAAATTTGTTTTCATTATTTTGTTGGATTTTTACACAATATTTAACTTTGCTTCCTTCAAAAAAGATTCTTAATTTTTCATATAAATTTCTAGATAGCTTCTTTGATGGCACCATTCCATTGGAAGATGCCTTGACAAAAGCTGTGATCAAACATGAAAGAGAACAAGTATATAGTTCTACTTTTATTTGTTCTAATTGAAAAGTTGCATATTTTTTTATCACTTAAAATCAATTTAAATCTTTTACTTCTTTTATTAGATTGAATAAATATATTAAAGCAAAAGTACAGTATATTACTTTAAAATCTGTGCTATGTTTTTGGAGTGATGATTTTAATACTTTTTTTTTTTTTTTTTTTTAACAAAGGCTGAGGGTCATATAAGAACGATTGTAGATCTTACTATTCGACTTGTTTTAGCTATGTTAAAAAATATCATTGTTGGTGAGAAACCTATGGAATTTATAGCTCCAAGTGGACTTGGGCTTACAATATCAATGTAAGTATTTTCTCTCTTTTATTCCAGTGATTATTTTTATTTAGTATTAGCTGCAATTTTTATCATTTTCTTTCTGAATTATTATTTTGTCTTTATTTTGGTGAAGCAAAATAAATACTGGTTGAATAATTATATGTATAAAAATTGTCTCTAATTTATCTTTGCATTTTCAAATCTTTTTACATAAGGTCATCCATATGGTCTTGCAAATATTACCATTCTACAAGGCGTGAAGTCTTTTAATTAATCATTCGTGTAGCCAGGCAAATTTCAGATTTTCTGAGATGTTTTTATTTAAGATGGCATAAGATTGGTAATTTATGTTTCAAATTCAGAATGTTGGAATCTGTGCAGAAAGGTGCACATTTTAATTTTAACATATGGACTTTTAATACTTTTTTTTAAATAAGAATAGTAATCACATTAACGTGTATATTATATGACCATTATTTGAAGAACATAAGGATATTAAGGGTATAGTGGCACACTAGTTTAAAACAATTGTAACAATAATTCTTAATTCAATAATTTTTTAATAAAATTAAAATTGTTTCATAATGTGATGATTTAAAACCAAAATTAAAACATTATATCTTTATTTTTATCTTTCAATAATATTTCTCACCAAGATAATTTATAATGTATCTGATTCTTGGATTTGTAATGTACGTAATTGTTATCATTATTATAATTAACGAAACATGTACCTAATGCCATAAATTTTGTATCTCATTGTAGGCTAACCATTTATGTACTGTCTAATAACTGGTTATTGTTATTATAAGGTATTTTATTCTTTGTGTAATATAAATTAGTCTTACATAAAATTTTTTACCTTTTGTATTTATAATCAGTTAAAATAAAATTGATGCAAAATAGCATTTTAAAGTGCTGAAGTATAAATTGATATACATATGACTACACTTTGTTAAAGATATTTGATTACAAAATAACTTTGTGTTAAAGTAATTTTAAGTTCTTTTTGGAATTTATTATCTATAAATATTGCTCATTAATTTTTATTGCTGCTAAACATTAACAAAAGAGTGAATTGATATGTTTTATATATTTCAAATTCATTTTATCTACATTACATACTTTGGCTACATATACACATGCACACACACATAGCAAGCTTGTATTTGGGAGATGAAGAGGAAACAAATTCATTTCCCTTTTTTTAGAGATGCCAGAAAAGACAAAATAGTTAAGACCAGTGTGAGAGTTTTCAAATGAAGAATTAAAATTTTTTTTGAATAACTGAGTGCATTGAAAAATATTCTGTAATTGTATAGTTATGTAATTATAAATAAAAAAAATATCAGTATAATCATTGTTACAGAATTCTGCAATAAAATTGATTTTTTGTCACTGAAGCCAGCTTTAATGGTTTAAGTAGTTATGTTTACAGTAGTTAAACTAGCAGTTCAGAATGAATATTCCTTATGAAAAGACAAGTCCTTCAGTGGCTAAGAGACTAAAATTGTATAAAGCTGCTAGTTCAGCTCGTGTTATTTTCTGGCTAGCTGCATGAATTTTCATGTTTGTGAATTCATGCGATATAAGTCAGATTTTGTTTGAAAATTTTCACAAAGACAGTCCTTATTTTAAGCATATAGCTGTTACTGCTTATTCTGAATCAGTAATTTAATTCTTACATCAGGAATTCCCAGTAGGGTCAATATGAATCCCCTGTGAATCCTTTAAATTTTAAAATGGGGTCTGTAAAGACAAGGGGTCAATTGGAGGTCGAGAACCAAATAACGCGTCAAGTAATTTACAGGCATAATCAAGATCCAATTGATTACAAAAAATGGATTAATAAAATTTGAAATTAATTATTTGCTGACATAAAGCTTTATGATACAAATAAAGCAAGTTTTCAAAACAAATGGATATGTTAAGTGTTAGAATTTAGAGGTCATCCAAGAGAAATATCCTAAAATTAAAGTTTTTACTCAATGAACTTTTCTTGACTTCTACTTACTCAGTGGAAGCACGCTGTAGTAAGTTATTCTTAAATCACCTAGATCAGAAATATTCAGTCTATTTCTTGTTTTCTGTAGTAAGTTATTGTGTTAATACATCATGTTACTGTGTTAATACATCAAGCACTGTTATCACATTAATTAAAATCAAGCTTTTAGGTAATTAAAATATGAATTTGTGTCTGAAAACATAAAAATAATATTTGTGCAGAAAATAATACAGCAGATTTAATAAGCTATTTGTTTCAAAGGTTTTATTCATATTCTTAGTCTGTTGTCTATGAGACTGATTAAGAAAATCATTTTTTAAAGGGGTCAATGCAAGAAAAAGGTTGGGGGATCTCTGATTTAGATTTATTTTTTTAAATAGAGATTTTTTTCCATTTCTGGTGCCACTTCTGGTGCAGAAAGATAATTTTATTTCTTAAAATCTTATTTTAGGAGAACTGCATCTGAAACAAGTGTTATAATTTGAATCTTTATTAAATAGTCTTGCTTCAAATTTTATTCTTCAGGCTTTTCATTTAAATTAAATGAGGAAGAAATTTAGGATAAATTTGCTATTATATCAAAGAAACTTGGTTTTGTTTATTAAGGGGGAAAATTTTAATAAATGAGTAGTGAAATAAATAATTAGTTTTAATTATAAACAATATGCATAGTCTTATTGTAAAAACTTTCAATCTTTTCAAATTGGAGGTGCCTAGAAAAATTACATTTTGCTATTTCTTTTACAGGATAACTGATAAAATAATGCATTTCTTTGCCATTTAGAAGATTTATCTGTCTCTTTAAAAAAAATCTAATTATATGAAAATATCTAAAGTCCATTCAATATTCAAGCAAAACTATCAGAAACATTTGATATTATTTATGACTAGCTCAGTGAATAAGGATGCTATAATCTTCACAGAAAAATTAACATTTTAATTTTAGCGTATACAGTACAAAGTCCATAATCCGGACTCGTCAGGACTTCGGTGATTTCGGATTAGTGGTTTTTCCGAATTAAAGATCATCAATTTAAATCCGGTAAGATAGCATGTAGAAATTATACAATTAAAAATATGAAACCGTAATTTTTAAAATAAAGAGCAATTATGATCTAAAGGGTATAAAATTTTACAAAAAAAAAAAAAAAAAGCTTGATATTTATTTGTTTACTTTATTAAACACTTCTTTCAAAGCGCGCATGTGTAAAGTATACATTACGCATAGTCGAAATTAAAAAACAATTATTTGATGTGTACTCGTAATATTTATAATGATGAGGAATTTGATTTAAATCATATCAAACACGGAATACATCGAGATGAAATACTACATTTAGTAAGGAATTATAAGCTGAATAAAATAAAAACATCTGCCCTGAAGATGAGGATAGTGCTGACTTCCAGTTCATTACGCGCCACGACTTCCCTTCCCCTCCGCAGAGCAGCGTGAAATTGATAAACAGATTTCTGAATAGTTAGAGAAACAAATCATTAATCCTTTGACCCGCAGTGGTCGCGCCCTAAAACCCCCATTTTTCAAATTTTTTCCTCCTCTTTTTTCCGAAATTTTTGAGTGAAGATGAATTGATTACTGATCTTTTAACTATAAATAACATAAAATGACTGCAGAATCATACGTTTTAGGTAGTAATATTTCAAATTGGATGCCTTTTAAAATTCGTTTTCGATGAAACAAAATAACTTCCTTTTATTAACATAAACAACTGTAAATTTCAAAAGTTAGTCATCGCACATCATGATTTCTATCATAAACAATAAAAAATGCTATAATTAAATTGCATATACAAATAAAACCCTCTATATGTATGGCATTTGCTATGTGGTTTCAGGGCGCAACCACTGCGCCATTAGAGCATTGTGTCACTATGCTCACAATCCTCTAGAGGCTCAGTGGTCACGTCTTGAAACCACTGGCGTTCGCTTCTCAATGGCGTTTGCTTGCTTTTCAAATAGGAATGCGTATTTTTACCTGGGTATAGGTAAGGGGCTTTGAAACTACAGAATTATTTTATTACTAAACAATACATGCACCTGCCCAGTAAAAAGGGTCTTTCTTTTCCAGAGGCTTTTCTCTGACCTCAACACACTTTCTCCCCAAGCTAGTATTGTGATTTTATAAATTATTTCCTGTGATTTAAATTTAAAATAAATACACTTTGCTATAATTAAAAATAGAAATCATGTGAAGTTTTATTTAAATAAAAAATATTTTCTGAATATTTTGGGACGAAATCCGAATAAAATAAGTATGAATGGGAAACAAGCGATCTGTACAAAGCCAAAAAGACCAAGCTCCCTCCCATTAACATAAAAAACCACAAATTTCATGTGCCAGATGAAAAGAAACTAAATAACGCTGGACATATACCAGCGAAATTTAGATCCAGGCAGTGCACATTTTGTAGCACAAGGAAGAAACCTCATAGAACAAATGTCCTTATTATGTAGGTACTTATATTTTCACTGCTATAGAAAAATTACATAAATGTTTATTTTTTAATTTTTTATGATGATTTTCTTTGTAAAATAATGTAAAAAATTATATATAATGCAATTCATACATATTTTTTTTTTTAAATCCGTAAATTTTGTCATTTATTGGAAACACATGCAGAAAATGGTAAGTTTTTCCCCCCTAAGTAAGTTTCAAAGTCCTAGACACGCGGTGGTTTCACAGTGTAACCACCACCCACAGAACAATGGGCAAGAGTAGAATTTTTAAAATTCAGATATTATTTGTCTCTAGGATCATAATATTTAATTTCTAGAGTTTTTAATTAAAAAAATCATAAAAATAATATCACGCACATGAAAGGGTTAAGCCAAGCTGTTTTGATTACGCAAATAATATCGTGCTAAGTAGAAAAAGGTGTGTTCATTTAGACTATGCCTGGACTTAAATGACACTTAAAACTTGGTTAATCCCTTTCTGAGTATTTCATTGCCATGAGTGAAATAACCAGTCACTGTTCTGCTGATGATTCATCAATTCTTGATT